TTTTATTTTAGAAATCATACAGGCTATAATCATTAATATGACTATATGTATTAACAATACTTAAATTAAAATTTATTTGAAGGAATGCTACTTGAAGTATTAACTCGGAATAATTATTAAAAACTGCTCATCGCGTTATCGATGTCGGCGTCTTCTAACTGTTGTCTTTCAGATAATGCAGATTTTAATATGCGATTTGTGTTTTTTTTTATTGGATTTTTTTTACATATTTGGTATACTCTATGAAGTGCTCATGTCCATTTTTCAATTATTAAAGTGTCTATTTATATACATTTAAAATTAATTAATTAGTGTATAATAATTGAATTATGGGTTTGTTTATTTTTTATGAAATGTATATTTTTTTTCTATTAAAATAAACATAGCTTTACTTAAAAAATCGCTAGCTAGCCATTTTTAAATACAGGCTGTTAATTAAGTATCTGGCCAACTTCAGAAGGTGATTCTTTGTGCTTTTACGGTAAAAAGTTAATATAAACATGTGTCCGGAAGTGCATAATTTTAAAGATACAGGGTGTCAAGTCCTAATAGACATTTTTATTAATATTTCAAAGATCCGTTGGCCGATTTTGTTGAAATTTGGCCGTGTTGTGAATTTTGATAAGTTAGCACTAATTAAATGATAATAATTATTATTTACAACAATATTCAAACGGTAAAAACTTATCAACTTATCCCAATAAATATTTGACAACGCCTTGGATTCATTTGTTTTAACGCCTGTTGGCGGTGGAAACCATGCAAGCTTTTTCTTTGTCCTAAGTTGATAATTAAAAAAATAATAATCATATAAATTATTAATTAGTCTAAATTTATTATTTATGTGATTCTACTCTTTCTCGTATAATTTGCCCCTTGTTTCTCATACGGAAATAGTTATTAAATATTTATTTTGATTAAATAGCCTTTTTGATTAAAATAGCCAAACTGTACCTAACAACCCATGCCTTGACATATTTTCTTTTAAAATAATATCGTTTTCTTTATCCGCCGGTCCAGACTCGACCTTGCCCTATTCGCTCATCAACGCCGGCTCTATCAACTTAAGTACGTGTTGACAGGCAGATTATTGAACCCATGTTGCTTCTAGCATGTCGTTTTTTCAAAGATGGGTCCCATATAAACGCGGCCAGAAGTATTTTCAATACTAAAATACAGCTCCAAAATCGCATTATTCAAATACCGACGCATCACTAATTGAAGCATGCTTTTAGACGAACTAACAAGGGGATTAGGACTAACAAGTATGCTTTTAGACGTTAACACGATAGTTCTACCGGTTTGGCTTTTGATAGCGAAGTAGATCACTAAATAAACAGGGACATAATGCATAATAGTATGGGATAATTTTTAGTATTGAAAATACTTCTGGCCGCGTTTATATGGGACCCATCTTTGAAAAAACGACATGCTAGAGCCGACATGGGTTCGATAACCTGCCTGTCAACACGTCGATAGTTTAGCCGGCGTTAGGAATATGGAATAGGGCAAGGATTTTCGAAGGCCGAAATGAGGTAGAGGTCGTAAATAAAATGATTCATAATGTTAAAATACGCTTAGAAGTGTTAAAATTAATTAAAATCTGTTAGGTTTAAGATATTGGTGAGTACTTTTTGAGTTTTAAGTCAGGTATGTAGGCGAGAGAAATATTATGTGACTTCTTCGATTGTATAAGCCGTGAAGCTAATAGGGTGTGTGTTATATTTCATGAATATTTCATTTTATTTTGTTCGTTTCCGAAGATAGGTACGTGTTAAATAAAACAACTAAAAATAAAAGTAAGAAGTGTTGCGTATGTTAAAATAAACCGAAAAACCTGTTTACTGGAAAATGAAAGTGTGTTTCAATTAGAGATACAAGAATTACAAACAAGGGTTATCTGTTATAAAACAAGTGAAAAATAAAAAAGGTAAGTACCTACTTAGTGAAGTAGTGGAGCTTTTTTACTATTCGTATATGTATAATAATAGAGTATAGATGGCAGTGCGTTTTTTTATCGCGGGTCATAAGATTTTACGTGCCAAATTTTCAGTCCCATCTTAGAGCTTCTTCTATTGCAGTGATAGGGCTGAAATTTATAACAGGTTTAGGGAAACTACCATCTCATATTTTTCTTTACCCTGTAATCTTTGTCTATTTACTTTAAAACATTTAGAAGCAACGTAATGTCTTAGTCTATGTCAAAAAATAATAATTTTGACTTGTCTATGGGACCTAAGGTTATTGCTCTTCTGTGATGAAAACTGATGGCAATTTCTATATATTCCTGGAACAACAATTAATTAATTATTATTATTTTGTTTCAGTTAGTGATAAATTAGTATGACATTAAGTTCTCTGTACGTGTATACTCTAAAGTGAAGGAACAAAGATTACAGGGTGTAAAAATGTATATACTTTCAATCATAAAGTTGAAGTATAGGAACCATCAATATATCGGCTTCCATAAAAACACATAAATTCGCGAGTCGACTTATTGAATTTACCTGTATATTATTTATTTCTGTTAAAGATGAAAATGTGAATGAGCAACAAATCCAAACACACACTAACCAATTATACAGAGTATAACAAAAGTCTGGAACGCATTGAATATCTGACGAATTACCCATCCAATTTTTTAAAAAATTGATTCAAGTTCGAAATGCCGACGGATTGTGTGAGTTATATCCGCGACGGCGACCAAGTCTAGAGTCTTTCAGCGGCGCGCAGAGGGCCAGCGGACCCTATTTTATGGAAAAATTATTTTGCTTATAGATATTATTTAGTATTATTTATTATGAATTAGTGTTAAAATCACAAAATCAATATATAATATGAAAAAATTAACAATTATTAGCCCATAGGAAATGGTTTATACAGGGTGTTACAATATCAACGCACTTATGTAAAATCATATTTTCGCAGATTCAGGTTAAAGGCACACCTTAACTAGTTTCCAAAAACGTATGAGCCTAGAAGAATCAAAAATGAGAAAATTTTTATTATACAGGGTGTCCCAAAAGTAAGAAAGTAATCAATTTTTTATAAAACTAGTTTTTTCTTAAAAATCGATTCTTTAAGACTTTTGAGGCAATTGCATAAAAATATGATAACAGCTGTACCTTAATTTAATTTATAATTGTTTTGAAAATACAATATTTTATCAACTTACTTTGTAACTTATTGAAAAATATATATTTTTTTATTTATTTATTAATATCTCTAAAACTATCCAAATATATTTACATCTTATCTTAGGATTATGTAAAGTAATCAGAAAGGAAGCCAAAAATGCAATAATACAGAGTGTTCCTTAATAAAATCATCCCGGTCCACTCACACTTTTTTGAGCCACCCTATAGAAGTTAAAATATTAGTTAATAGTTATTAATGCAATTTGCTATGTTTCCTTGTATAAAAACGCCACCGTGCATACTTTTTGAGGAAAAAAAATGTAATTCCGACTCTGACGTCAAAAAATGTTTCTTGTCACATGAGCTATGTAGGCGTAAGTTATGCGCCAATAATCTAGTTACACTTTCATAAAAAGCCATCACGTTAAAAATTAAATATCAAAATTATTTAAGGTTGCGAACGGTTCACTTGTTCACTATACGTATCTGGAATATATGTGCGAATGGCGATCAGCGATACGATGGTGCGTCCAGACCTGGGGAGACGAGCGCGAGACATTCCAAATTCGCTGTGTGGACGAGTCTCGCGAAAGCCTCGCGAGTCAACCCACGGAGCCTCGTTGCTATCCGTCCCCTGTCGGTTTTTCAACGGCCGATCCAAGAAAGCTCGAAGGTCTGGACATGTTTTTGGTAGGCTCGCCCGACTGCGAGATATTAGCTCTGATTTATAAATTTCGACTATTTAAAATTAAGTAATCTCAAATTTTTAAATCGTACACCGTATGTATTATCATTTTTTCTGATAGAATTTACAAATTTTGCGTCACTGATAATTTTTACCCTACCGAAATCCAACATTTCTTTAAACAAATTTAATTATTACAACATCTATTAATTTTAGATATATAATATCAAAAAATGCAAAAAGAGTTACCGAATTGTACGTATGTATAACCCAATAATAAAATAAAAAATAGGGTATTCCCATTAGAAAATATGTTATATCCGCAACACTTTTTTGAAGTACCCGGTATACTCTATAGTAATGTTAAAATGTGCTTCTTAACCTTACCAATAACTTTTCTATTTAATATTTTGTTCTAAAAACGTTAAAAAACTTATTATGTAAAAAACGTCGTGTAAGGGATAAAGGGGAAAACAGCCAAAAGGGGGAAAACCGACGATGAATACCATGTTAAAGACCGAATACCATATTAAAGATACAAAAATTTATTACTGTATGCGTTATTATTTGGCCATCGTTTGTTATATTCAATTGCAATTTAATAAGTGTTTGGCTTCCTTTCACTATGATCCCACTCGGCTTGTCTCGTGGGAGGTTTGCGTAAAAAATGGATAGAAAATGTCTCGCTCTCGTCTCGCTCTCATATTGCTCTCGTCTCGCTCTTGTCTTGCTCTCGTCTCGCACTCGGCTCGTCAGGTCTGGACGCACCATAGACGCCATAGATTGCCGGAGTGCTGACGTCACGAATGTCAAATTGATTTCCGAACAAGGTTTAGTTCTTTTATATTTCTATTGAGCTCTTCCAAATGACGTCACAAGTTAATATAAAATGTAAAAAAAAACAGGTGATTGCCGAAAACCGCCGACTTGTGTCTGGTATTTTCAATACGCCTATGATGGTTGCGCATGTTGCAAAATCTGTGAATTTTTTTTAATTAGACATGATCTAAAAAGAAAATTTTTAAACAATCTAACCATCTTGGTAAGAAAAAAATTCGGGTACAATCCTATCGTTAGTATCAATATACTCTCGTTGAGTATTCTGAAGAAACAAAATATAAAGTGCATAAGTTGTAATAAAGTTATACATATAAATATAAACTTATATTATTATTTACCTCCATGTCCATTGTGGCAAGAATATATAATCCATGATAAACCGATACCCCAAAAACCTCTTAGAAATATAAAACTAGCCATAAATGAGGGATCATTATTGTGAATTAATAACTGCATTTCTTTATAACTCAACAATGTACCAAACATCATAAGAAGGATCCCAGCCCATATACCAACATTGAGTCTCTGAAATGTTTTAAATATTTTAATACTTCCGTCTGTAGTAGTGATAACTTATGGATATTTAATTAAACAAATAACATTTCAAGGGCTTTTTTTCTTATTATTAATTCGCTTCTGATTTATATTTAAAATAAACATTTGTTTATTGAGATGCATGCTAGTACTGCATATTTAAATAAAGTAATACTACATTACCGACCACATACCGACCACGATGGCTGTTATAGACGACAACGAAAATCTTATAATCTGAAGTCATATTTAATATAAAATCTGCACAAACAAAAAAAGCAACGGGACCTGATGACATTCCAGTGGAACTCCTTCAAATTATCAAGAGAAAAACATCGATATCATTGGTTAAACTTTTTAATGATACTCTCGTTGCCAAAATAGATTTTACGCCAAAATTATAATGAAAGAAGCGATAGCCTCTAAAAGAAAAATAAAATAGGCTTTTTTAATTCAATCTAATAAAAATAAATATATTGTTCATGCATCTGCAGATGTTAGTAATGTATGGCAATCGCTTCTTTGATTTTAAAGAACATAACATAAATAAACATAACATACGTAAAATTTAAAAATAATCATACAGAAAGTTTAGGGCTTTTTGGTTTTACCTTATTAAGTATTTTTTATCAGGTAGTAATTGTTAATTTTGAAGTTTAACTTGATATAATGTCATTTTAACAGAACGTCAACGGTTTCTTTTAGATGTATCTGTTTTAAAAAAGTAAAGTGTTCTCGAATAGTTGAATTTAAATATTTTAAATAGTTTTTTTCTTTATTTTTTGTATTTTTTTGCTTCCGACGATGGAAAGAGATAAACTTTCCGAAACGTTGAGCATTTTTTTCTTTGTTAGGCAAATTTGTGTAACTGTAAATATAACTTCTGACAAGTAGTGTCCGTTTCGGTTTAACGCAGAAGTGTTTACAAAAAGTAACTATTTTATTTTGAAGATTTTCTTGCAGTGCAGTGGCGAAATACCCATATAGGATTTTTTTGGAGAGATGAATCCGCCACATACGTATATATTTTTTAATGATATTTACAACACGGGAGAAATACCAGAAGATTGACTATATTGATTGGAATTATTATTAATATTGACATATTGATAAGTCTAATGAGCCACACACTAAAAGCGTAGTGTTTACCTATATTCCGACAAAGTCCGACAAAGTCTTTAAAGAGGCTTTATATGAAAAAGAATTTGGGGTCAAAATAAACACCATTCGGTATGCTGACGATACGGCACATTTTTTAATGATATTTACACGGGAGAAATACCAAAAGATTGACTATGTTGATCGGAATTATTATAAATATTGACATATTGATAAGTCAACAGGTCTATTGATAAGTCTAATGAGCAACACACTAAGTGTTTACCTATATTCCGACGAAGTCTTTAAAGAAGCTTTATATGAAAAAGAATTTGGGGTCAAAATCAACGGTGAACTGATTATAGCGATTGTGTCCATTCGCTATGCTGACAATACGGCTATTTTGTGCGATAATCTCTTAAATCTCATAGATTCTGTTATTGCAATGGGACAGGAAATGAGACTGAATATAAATGTTTCTAAAACAGAGTTCATGGTCTTCAGTCCCTAGCCATAACTTAACGCGTCGCTACAGATTTTGGTGTTACACAGCAAAATAAAAACACTAAATCACCACAATACACCAAAACACTTTTACTTTTACACTGGACGCGCGTTTCGCTAACCATGTTAGCATCATCAGCAGATGGTTATAAACTCAGCTTTATACACTGGACGCGCGTTTCGCTAACCATGTTAGCATCATCAGCAAATGATTATAAACTCAGCTTTATAATCATCTGCTGATGATGCTAACATGGTTAGCGAAACGCGCGTCCAGTGTAAAAGTAAAAGTGTTTTGGTGTATTGTGGTGATTTAGTGTTTTTATTTTACAGATAAATGGACAAAACGTTGAGAAAGTATCCAATGTTAAATACCTTGGATGTTATATCACCGAGCAACTTGACCGGGATAGGGAAATTAGATGTAGGATAGAATCGGCCCGTACAATATTCCAGAATATGAGATCCAGAATGATTAAATGTTGCTTCTGGTCTGTGCTGTTATACAAGGCTGAAATCTGGACACACAAAGCTGCCACAATCAACCGTCCGGAAGCATTTGAAATGAGGTTATATAGACGAATGATAAGTTACAGTTTACAATTGAAAGAATGATAAGTTACAGTAATAACAGTTAAATGCCGAAAGCTGTCATCCCTCAGCCATGTTGTTAGAGGAAATCGTTACCGGATTCTACAACATATAATGAAGGGCAAAATAGAGGACCGCAGGGGCGTAAGAAGAAAACAAATCTACTGGTCAAGGAACATCCGGGAATGGACAGGTATACATAGCGCCGAACAATTGTTTAGAGTGGCTGAAAACCGGGATCAGCTCGCCATCGTGATTGCCAATGTGAGGGGGACCTGACGAGGCACAGTATGAAGAGAAGAATACTACATTTCTTCTTATTTAAATAGCTTTAATTATATTATATTTTTCCATAAATTTTTCATTTTTGCAATCTACCATTTCAACATAATTTTTCTTTCTGACATATACTTTTCATCATAGCCACTTAAATTTCACAATATTAATTCAACTAGGTATCACACTGATTTAATATAGTAATTTATTTTTACAAACTACAACTGTATTTTCTTATGTATGTTGCCTGGCGCCCAACATTTTTAGTTTTATAGTGAATTCATACTTTGAGTATTAGTCCAAACCCTTAACATTAACCCTAAAAAATTAACCTTAAGAACTTAAGGAAATGCTGTTCATATTTCTCCTATTTGTGTTAGGGTGGCTGTAACGACGTCCCGTCATCCTGCTGTTAAAACATGACAGTTGGTTTTCATATATAAAAACTCATTGTTTTCTTTTAAGCGCAGGATTATGGGACGTCGTTGTTGCTTGCAGGGGGGTGACAGTGAAATAGGAAAATTGGCAACAGTCATTAGTGTCATTCCTGTCATTCTCCTCACGACAAGTATGGCCCACGTATGTATGGTAGACAAGGACAGCAATGTTTCTGTCTAACTATTGTCTAACTTCACAGTTTAGAATTGACAGATTTCAGGGACAACTTCAGATTTGTTCTAGAACAAATTTCGACGCCATTTTAATTCTCTCCGTTTAGTTTTATTTTGTAAATTCAATTTTTTTTGGGGGTGGCAACGTGGCATTGTTTGGGAAATATCGTAAATTATTCTTGATCTGCAATTTTCCCGTATATCGCGAGTTGTAGTGAAAAATAATTTGAACTTTTTATTTGTATAGTGAAATTACATGTTTACAATTCGATGCTGAGGTAAAAAATCTAGAATTAAATATAAATAGTAGCAAAAACGTATAAAGAAATTTCAGGAATCTAAATCAAACTGATAAGAGAATTGAGGTATTTAGCGGTTTCTCGTTAAAATTGTTTGTGTTGTTGCCAGCTTGTGCTGAGAACAGGATATTTGGGGATTGATAAGAGCAAGGGACTTCCGATCCGTTGAGGAGAGTCTGTTCTTTTCGCAATCCCTATAATTAAAAGGAAAATAATATGGGGCAAAAACAAAAACAATCCGATATGAAAGAAATAAAAGAAATGTTCGATTTTATTAGAGAAAATATGCAAGTAATGGATGGTAAACTATCCGATGTTATAAAGGAGCTGAGAGATACTAAGCTAGAAAATGCGGCGATGAAGACAGAAATTAAAGCGCAAGGAATGAAGATTGCCAATTTGAAAAGGGAGATTAGAAAGAAAAATCTGATTTTTAAAGGTATTATGGAAGATGAAAAAGAGGACTTCGAACTAACCAAACACAAGACAATTAAAATTTGTGAATCCTTGGGAGTGCCTATTAAACCAGAATTTGATGTAGACCAGGTAAGAAGAATAGGCAAACAAATCCCAGGTAAACCGAGACCAATATTACTACAACTTACAACTACAAATAAGAAATTCGAAATACTAGGAAAAACTAAAGGATTAAGAGGATCTAACATATGGATTGATGAGGATTACCCAAAGGAAATACAAGAAGAAAGAAAAATTCTGGTGTCCGAAATGAAAGAAGCATGGAAAAATGGCGAAAAAGCACAACTTAGATACAACAAACTAATTATAAACGATGAGGTATATGATGCAAGCAACATAATAAATAGGGAGTCAACTAGCCAATATAATAACGCCGACAAGAAGAGAAAACCCGATATGAGATCACCGGAAAATGATAAATTTGGCGAACAACTGAAAAAGATTACGCGAACTTCAAAAAACTAGAACTAACCAATGGATTACACGGAGCAGGATTATCGGACATGGAACTTGGCATTAAACGGACATTGAAAGGAAACTTAAATGGAAAAGGGCTAACATTTGGTACATGGAACATTCGGTCGATAAATGACAAAGAGGGCGACTAATTAAAGAATTTGAAAACATTGACCTAGACATACTAGCTATAACTGAAACTAAAAAGAAAGGAAAACAAACAGTTGAATTACAAAATGGACATATAATGATTTTGAGTGGGGTCCAGAATGAGAAAAGGGCACAGGCCGGAGTTGCTTGTATTATAAAAAGTACCTTAGCTAAATTTGTAACTAAATAGGATACTATATCAGAAAGAATCATTATGGTAGAATTAAGGCTTGAAGACAAGAACACGATACACATATTAATACTCTATGGCCCAAATGAAGATGAAAAAGCTGAAGTAAAAGACAAGTTTTGGGATGAAGTTACGGAAGTTGTAGACAGTTTAAACGGAGATATTATTGTTCTGGGGGATCTAAATGGAAGGGTTGGTATTCAGGATTATGAAAGCGGCGATGTCATAGGAAAAAATGGAGAGGCTATAAGAAATAACAACGGGACTAGAATTATAGAGTTCTGTATACAGAATGATTTATTAATCATGAACACCTTTTTCAGACACAAAGAAATCCAT